AAAAATCACTGCTCACGTGCACTCTGCAAAGATTTCCCAGATTTTTAGCAGCTCCTTTCCTGGAAGGATTTAGAGATCAGGCAAGGGGTAGCCTGGACCTTCCCTGAACCCGCAGCTCTGCCAGCCAAGCTAGGTGTGAGGAGGGGATGGATGGGAAGCAAGAGAAGAAGGTGGCATGGCTGGAAAACCCTGGGAAAACATCAGTGCGATCCCTCCTGACGGGTTTCTGAGGAACGCTGTTAGCTGGATTTAAAAGAAAAACCCTACGGCCACCACCAACAGAGCAAAAAACAACCCAAAGAAATTGCCTGTGCCTCCCGGCTCGCTCTTAAGGAACGGTATAAGGTCATCAAGCCAAACCACGCGCGGTCAGTAAATGCCAGAATGAAGGTAGCCGTGGAAACCTTGACTCCAGCTGCCTTTGGTGCGCGCGGAAAGCAGCAGCCCTGCCTGCTGGTTTTCATGCCCGGGCAGCGCACAGGAGCAGCCCGCCCACGGAGCAGGGGGGTCCTTGGGATGGCGGCGGCTGCCAGGGGATGCTCTGCTCCCAAACCTGGAGGGGAAGGAGCTGAGCCAGGCAAGGAGAGACTGCACGATAAAGAAATGCTTTAGCCGAGCTAAGGAGTGCTCTGATGCCGACCCATCTATTTTTGCATTTCCCATCTTCCGAGCGCAGACCTGGCTCTGACCTGTGGAAGCGGCCACATCTCCCCAGAACCTCCGAGCTCTGACCAGGCCGATGCAGTCCTTGCCCTGAGGCTGCCAGCATCACAGCTTTACGTGCTCGAGCCCAGGCGATGCAAAGTATTCCAGAAATATATCACATCTCCCAGGGGCCTCAAACCCGGCACCCAACTCTAGCGGAAACCTCTGACCTTCTTCCCTCTGTATCCCAGCTCATTACCTGCAAGGGCAAGAGCATGGATCCTCCGGGATGAGGCAGGGTCCTGGCAAACCAGAGCACACAGAGGGTACGGTGCAGCACAGACAACCCGAGCTTGAGGACTCCTTAACCTCCGAGCCCTGCAGCTCTCACAGTGTTTGCTTAAGGTTGTTTCCTCCTGCCTAATTTGGCCGGCGAGCGACGCTTGTCTCTTCTGATGCAGCGTCTCACTTTCCACCGGGCTTGTCTCCGCCGGGGCATCTCATAGTTTCCAAGTAGCGATGAAAGACGTTTCGCTGATGTCTCCTCTCCCCTTTTTTGAATATTTTACCGGTGAATGGCTGGCTGCTGCCTACACAAACCTGCCTGCCTTTGGGGTGGTGGCTGCAAGAGCAGACCCAGAGGCCCTGGCAGTCCCTGCAGCCCTGCCTTTTCCCCCTTAAACTCTGAATTTTAAATTGGCTCAATCCAAATCCGTACTTGCCAGGAGGTTGCCCGGCCCCAGACCGATCTAACAGCTCTCCATCACTCTTCTAACTCCCAAATCTCTGGAGGGAGGTCAGTGTAATGAAGCTTTATCTCTAGCATACAGGCTTAGAGCACGAAGGGCCAAGCCAAGCTGTCGTGTCGCAGAGGGTTGGCACAGCAGTATTTCCCCAGCCCTCGTCTCCGAGCTGGGGACCTGCCGACTCCGGGGCCGGGAATGGGTGCACGGGAACACGATGGGTGCAAACTGCTCTTGCGATCTGACCCGGTGGGGAAAGGAAAGGATAGTCACCCTCAGGTGTTTGGTAAGAGTTCTTACTAATGAGGCTTTGGGAAGCTGGTTTGCGTCACTGCTTGCAGATCTGGCTGAGAAACCTGCAGCCTGTCTGAACCTGAAACCAGGTCAGCAAAGCGCCTAACCCGAGTGGATTTTCAGCACAGGCAGGGCGAGGGCGTTAGAACTGGCCCCTGCAAAAACAACAACGAAAAAGGCAAGGCTAGTGCAGTACTGCAGCTCCGTGGGGAGTCACCTGGGCAGAGGATCAACCAACTATCCCTTTTCTTTAGGGGAGAGGGAATAATCAAAAACCCCCAAGTGATAGTCAATTCAGCAAAACCACATTTCTGGGGGATAGAGAAGAACCAAACCCCAGCAGCCCGGGGGGAGGATTTTGGGCTTTTTCTCTAGTGTACAGTTATATATCGCTTCCAGAAAAGCTTCACGCAACGTGAGTGTGTGTTCCCTACCGGCATCATCACCGGGGCCGTGGTACTGCGTGTTCGTGCTACCACCTGCGCTAGATTTCTTTGCCAGGTAGTTTAGCACTTCAATTCAGGGCAGTGCTTTGCAGATACGACTCCTTCCTTTGTGCTTTGCCTGCTGGCAAAGCAGACAGACTCCTGTCACCCTGTGATACAGAAAACATGGCCGGGAGGACCTTGGACATCAAAGCAAGCCAAAAATCCATCAGGTTGCACAGAGGGTGGCTGTCTATCCAGCTTCTAGGTGGTAATCACCCGTGTTGCTTCTCTGTGTCACCTAGTGCACTGCAAGGAAGATGAGCACGGAGGATGCTGGCAACGGGACCTCTCCCACCCCGCCTCTCCTCGGGCTTCTGGTTTCAACCACCGAGCTGATCCCATCCATTACTGCATCCCCTGAGAAAGCAGACCCGCTGCCTGTCATCATCGCTCTCATCTGCATCTTCCTCATCCTGGCGACCTTCCTCATCTTTGTCACCCTCTGCAAGCCGGCGGGGCTGGACCAGTCCCGCTCTGGGTCCCGCGAGTGCATGCCCCATCACCCGGCGGATGCCAGCGAGCCCCAGCTGAGGCTCTGGAAGCGTCTGGGCTCCCTGCGATGCTCCATCAACACCTTCAGGAGGAGTCGGCCAGTGTCCCAGAGCCACCTCGCCTGCCCCAGGAGCTCCCCCACCAGCCAGGACCGGGACATCATGGAATCCACCAAAATGTAAGCCTGCTCTGCGGGAACTGCCTCTCCCCACACCGCTATTCTTTCCCAGGCTTTTGGTTCAGGCTCAGTTCCCTCCTCCAGCAGCCCCTGGGACCCTGGGCATCCCGGCAGAGCCCCTTTAAGCAGCTCATTCCCAGGCAGCTGCTCTGCAAGGCGACAGGACATTTTGCTATTTCAGATTCCCAAATGCTTTCCAGGTTACTGTTTCCTGGCAGGAAAAGTGGAGGCATCTGAACTACACCCACACGCAGCTATCACCGGGCAGTCCAAAAAAATATTGCTGCTTAATTTCTTTTGGAAAACATAGTGCAAGTTGTGAGGCACCTGAACAAACAGCCTGGGCGAGAGCAGAGCAACCTGGCTGCCTAACAAATATCGCCTTGAAGAGAAGCATCCTGGGGCAAATGTGCTCCACAAAAAGCAATCCTCAGCTGAGACTGTCCCCCACGATGTGCTCCGGAGCAGGTGGAGGAAGGCTCGTGCCACCCTGCTCCCCTTCCTCACCACGCAACAAGCCGTGGGTTGCTGCGGTTGATGCTTGGAAGGATGCACGCTACAGCTGTCTGCTGGAAACCTGCTTCAATAAACGAGCAGCGGGAGCAGGTAAACACGCCTATAAATACATTAAAGGGGTCTTTTGAGGCTCGCAGGCGCTGCCAGCTTGGAAAGCCACCACGCAAGGCTGAGCCGTTCATTTCTGCTGGGAAAGGGTACAACAGCCAGCAGGTAATCTGAAGTGCTTAAAGGAATCATAGGAAAAAGTGGTTTAATTGTTCCAGGTCTGCAGCTCACACTACCTTCAGCCATCGAGTTCACCCCTTTGGGTGAAGTCTCCGTGCCCGGCGAGCACCAAACCCCATCTCTCTGGCTTTCACGCGGTTCCTGACCCTCACGGGGTGCAGCTCTGCCTCGGACATTCCCGTTCTCCTCCTGGTTTGGGCTGCCTGGCTTTTGGACCTGCAGCCGTTCAGCTGCTCGCATGGCTCCTAAATGTGCTACGTAAGTTGGGTTGAAACGAGCAGCAGAACGGCGCTGAGCCCCTGGCTGTTTAAAGCCAGCTCAATCTGCTGATCAGGGCTGGAGCAGAGGATGCAGAGGGCTGGACGGGGGCTAATGAGGACAGCAGCTGCAAGAAGGGCATGGGGAAACCTTCCAAAACTTCCCCCAGATAACGCCTCTCCTTTGCCGCAGACTGCCAAGGGCATCCCTCTCTTTCGGGACTTGTGCTCTAAGAAAAAGGACTTGGCTATCAGACTCGGGTTTCCTCCATTCACAATCTTTCAATCTGCAAAACCGGCTCAGTTTTGGGAGTCTCCTCTCCGCCTGCACACCTCCACCCCCGGGTGCAGGGATCGCAGGCAGACGCCTGACCCCAGAGACAGGCAAGGTGCTACGAGCATCACACACGCGGTGCCGCGCCACGACAGGTGATGAGGAGCTGCAGGGCCCGCGCTTGAGGACCGGCCGCCCCGAGCTCGACTCCCAGCAAATCTTTGTTGCAAGAAACGAAAGGCTTCTTTCTTCTCTCCCGGTGACTCACCCTGCCCGTGAGAGCCAGGGACAAAGCTGCCCCTTTCCCTGTGCCGGGAGAGGTATTCAAGGCAGTAGGAGCCTTCCCAGGGCCCTCTGCAAAGAGCCTTTGGTGCCCGCTCCAGAAGAGCCCTGGGTTTGAAGGGATGCTGGAAGCCCTGGGAGGCTGCGTGAATGCCCGCATTCATTTGGTGCTCACTGAGCCATTCAGCTCTGCCCACCGCTCCCTCAAAGAGGAACAAAAATGAAAGCAAAGTCTAAACCCTTTTCTCCCCCTGTTTCCCCCCGCCCGCTCTCAGAGCACCTCTTTGCATGCACTCTTCTCCCTCCCCCTTGAGATCTCCGCTCTCAGCCCCTTCTCTGCTGGGAGGAGAGAGAGAACGTGGGGATGCAGGCGGGCAAAGGAGCCTCACCAACACAGGGCTTGGGTTTTCTCCTCTCAGCCCCTGCAGAAACGGGGCGAATTCCTTATTTTTCCCTTGCGCTTTGCTGTCTCCTCCCCGGTGCTCACAGCCTGCGTTAGGCAAAGGAGCAGGGGAGCGCACAAGCAAGAACGTATCTTGAGTTGGCCCGGGGGAACAGACCACCCATGGGGAGAGAAAATGTCCTCCCTTGGCTTCCTGCAGCTCACAGCCGTGGTGCCGGGGCCCAGAGTGCGGGGAACCCCCTTCGCCCACCCAGGGACCCAGGTGGAAGAAAGCCACGTGCCTGCACTATGCTGCTGGCGGCCGGGATGTCCTCGGGGACGCTGACTTCGTAGCTGCTCTGGAGGAAGATGGGTCGGTTGTCATTGACATCCAGGACGGTCACGTACACGGTGGCAGTCCCAGTGCGTCGGTTCCCCGTGGGGCCGTTGTCTGTGCGGGAGAGAAAGGCAAGGGGAGGTTTGGTCACCTCCATCTCCTCCTTGCACAGGTGGTGCTCAGCCTTCGGCTGCTGAAAATAACAGGACCAACATTTCTAAACAAATCCTCTGTCTTTTCTGCAGCTTCCAAATCCCACACTGAACCACGAGGGTTTTTTCTGCCTATCTTGAAAGAAAAAGGAAAAGCCAAACCACCCCCAAGCTCTGCCACGGAGCCGCTGCCCGGCGAGGCTGGAAGCGCAACCGGTCATTGCAGAGGGTTTGCAGTGCCAGAGACAAAGAGGGTGATGTACGCTGGAAGGGACCCTGGAGGTCAGGGATGCGGGAGATGAAGACGGGCAGGGGTCTGACGAATTTTCTGTAGACCCAGCTCAGCTCACAGCCAAAGAGCACCAGGACCGGTTGATGTTCAGTAGACAAGGACGTGGCAACACGGCGCTTGGTTTTGCCACGGATGAGGCAACGGGGAGCACAGGTTGGATTTGTTTTTCCCAAGACGCCTGATGCAAGCGAGCACTAAACCCACCCAGGTGGGATGTGGGGACCGGGAAAACACAGGCAGTCCGATACCCATCCGAGGGGCAGAACGGTCCCTTTACCGCTCAGGATCTCATCCTGCTTGCCCAGCCGGTGCAGCATCTCCACTGCAGACCCCGTGGCACCTGCAGTGCCGTGCCCCCGAGATTTCTGACCAGGCCGCTTATTCCTCCTTTCAAAAAGGACATCCGAGTCTTCTGTAAACAGGCACATCATTATAAAGCTCTAGGGATGACGGCCAAGACGCGTTTGGCACGCAGGCCCTCTGCCTCTGCCAGGTGGCTCTGGATTAATCGGCAGCCACTGAGCCAAGGGCTGGCATGGCGTTTGGGGAACGATGCTCTGGTGCTGGCATTGCTGGGCAGAGGTCTGCCCCGAACAGCACGGAGCCTCTCGGGAACAGGGGGTCTTGCCTTCCCCGGGGAAAAGGGGAAGTCCCAGGGCTGGAGGGGCCTGAGGGGTAAATTTACTGCCTGCAAAAGTCACGGTGGAAACAGGGCATATTAACGCACACGGGTTGTGAAATGCTAACACCAAACACAGGCTCCGGTTTACGGAGCACCTCAAAGGTTGCTGTCTCTCTGCTCCGTTTCCAAGGCAGCTCAGCACGTGCACAGCCACCCCACGTGGCTGCGTGGCAACGGTCCCACAGGAACAGCGGAAAATCCTTACCGATGGCCTCCAGGATCAGTGTGTACGATGGCATGGTCTCCCTGTCCAGACTCACGACTGTCCTGACCACCCCATCCCTGAAGCCAACGCTGAATTTACCATCCTGGTTCCCACCTGCAGCAAAGGACAAGGACCAGGTTACCCGTTGTCGGGAGGCAGGGAGCAGAGCCCACGCTGCAGGGGATGCTGCAGCCTGCGCACGGGGTCAGCCCGGCCGTGGAAGTCATCACAAGCTCTCAGCATGGTTTTCAGCAAGGCAAGCGTAGGGCGAGCTCGTATCTCCTCCGAGGCAAAGCTTCTCTGCAGCAAAAGCGGGCAGAGCGCCTTCTCTCCGCCACCCCAAACGCCGTGCCTGCCTCACGGTGCAGGCAGGGAGAGATGGTTATAGGAAAAGCTGAATCATATAAACGCCGGATCACTTCCTGAATGCTTCGGAAGCAAACTGGGGTCACTTTGCATGTGGCCTGCGGTACCTGTGGGACAACACACACCTTGTGGGGAGGCCAGAGAGGCTGTGAGAGGAAACGCAGGGCTGCTATTGTGAGAAAAATGACTCTTCAGTGACGTTTCTATTTTTGCCCTCTTCCTGAGGGCTAAATGCTGCATGTGCAGTTTGCAAGTCAAAGCGCAGCCAGGGGGTTCCCCGGCCTCCCGCTGCAGGTGCTGCGGCTGCGGCGCGAGCCAGGCACTGCCTGGGCAGCATCGTTGCCTGCCTGCTCCCTGCCCGCCCAAACCCACCTCCACGCCGGGCTACGAGACGCCCTAAAACTCCCGAGAGGCTTCCAGCCCTAAACGCACGTTACGCAAATGCCGCCCCAGCTGCGTTGAAGCCATCCTCGTGCTTTGCCTGGTCGCATCCCGGCAGCGAGAGAGGGCAGGGGATGCTCCGGGGCGAGCGTTCGCCCCCGGGCAGGACAAAGAGCAGCGGCGGAGCGGTCAGCAAGGCAGGGAGCCGAGCGGGGCTGTTCGGCAGAGGGCGATACCACACAAGGTTTGGAGGGGCTGGAAAAGGCAGCGGTGATGTGCAGAACACCCCGGCCAAGGTCTGGGGCAGCCTCTTCCTTTGCACAGCCGAAGCTCCCCTTGTGCAGCGTTTCGCAAGGGGTTCGTACCTGTGATGAAGTAGCTGAGCTCAGCGTTCAGCCCGACGTCAGCATCCGTGCAGTTGAGCCGGACCACTTTAAAATCCCGGGCCACGTTTTCGGGCAGTGACACGTTGTAGACGGCTGGGAAGAAGGTGGGGTTCTCATCGTTCACGTCCAGAACTGAAAGGGGGAGCAGAGCTGAGTGTCCCCCCAGGGCTGCCCCTCCTGCAGATGCCAGGCTGATGTCCACCGGGCTCCCAAAATCATCTGCCCACTGCTCTGAGCACCCCAGGGAATGCTCTGCCTGCTGTTCCCTGCTGTCTGTGTGGTGGGGGTACCTCCAGACCAGCTGTAAGGACCAGTCCCCACCGCTGCAGGCTGTGTTTGGTTGCCTCCGATACACACAGATCACACCCCATATGCAAAGAAACCCTACATAACTGGTGCAAACACAGACTCCTTTCCATCCCCATTCAGAGGAAAATCGGGGGCTTAAATATAAACTCAGTATTTCCTGGCATACGACAGAGGGCTCTGGGGCTGCAGGACCAGAAGCTTCTTTTCCCAAACCCAGGCCTGAGAAGAATCCCGGGTCAGTTTATTTCCAGATGATGCTTATCCTCAGCACTAGGCTCACGTGAAGCCACTAAGCGGAAATGCATCAAATTAAAGACAGACCACATAATAAGGGTCTCAGCGTGTCTCCTACACAAACCCCATCTCCCCCCCGGTGACGTGTCCTTGTCACCCCTGGTTTTGGGACCGGAGGGGGTTCTGTGGCTGGGAAGGGTTTGGAAAGGGTATCGGCACACCCACCTTTGACGGTCAGGGTGCTGGTGGAGCTCTTGGATGGCACGCCGGCGTCGCTGGCCACCACCCGCAGGTAGTACTCGGCGATCCTCTCCCTGTCCAGCACGGCGGTGGAGGTGACGAGCCCGCTGGTGCTGTTGATGAGGAAATCCATGCGGGGCATCCCCACCTGCATGCGGTATGTCACCTGCCCGTTCGGACCCTCGTCCAGGTCGATGGCCACTACCTGGTGGGGAAAGCGGAGGGAAGGGGTGAGCATGGGGGAGCCCGCTTATCTCCTGACGATGAAAATCACAGTACGTAAACTCTGAGCATTTCTTTGCCCCCAGGGATGCTGGGCTGAACCAAAGGGGTCTCAGAGCATCCCCCCATGCTGGAAGCGAGCACATGGGGTGGGATGCCACAACCCTCTTCTGCATCCCCCCGCAAAGTTGCATTGCTAGAAGATGCATGGAGAGCACGGAGAGCATGTATTGCTAGCCTGCTTCACAGAAGCAATAGCAGCAGCAGCTCCCCGGGCACGGCAGCGATGGGGCACGCTCACCTGGAAGACGGAGGAGCCCATGGGAAGGCCCTCGGCGATCTCGGCGGCGAAGGGCAGGTTTTGGAAAGTGGGGTCGTTGTCGTTCAGGTCCAGCAGGTTGACGAAAACCGTGGCGCTGCTGGTAGCTCGCAGGGGCGGCCTCCCACCTGTGGAAGCCAAGAACAGGGTTTCAGGGCTAACACCTCCAGCCATTTCCAGTCCTGTCCCCCAAAAGAAGCCCTCGCTCCCTATGCAGACGGTCATGCAGGATGGGGCTGCCCCATCGCGGCATTAACCCGTCTAATCGGACTAATGGCGTAGTCCCCTGGCAGGGAAAAAAACTCTCCCTGGCAGCAGGCGTGCAAGACAGACCGACAGCTACCCATGCATGCAGCTAAAAAGCAAGAGCAACTCCAATCTGTCCTTATCCCTGGCAGGCCGGATAGGACGATGACTTTAGCACGGTGCAGAGGCGATGCGAAAAATAGACAGGGGCAGAGTTAAGGCTATATGTGCCTGCTGGCTCCTGGAAACCAGCTGGATAATGGGAAATTATCTTTATCTCCCTCTATTTTTTTTTTTTCCCTAAAAAAAGTTTCCCTGAGAGATTATTTCCAGAGAAAAAGATGTTTCGTGACTTGACCAGCTCTTTTCCCCGCTCGGCTCAAGTGGCTTTCCTAGAGACTGATGGAGCCAGGCTGAGAAGAGGGGGAGTTTCTGCCTCGCAGGCTCATTGTCAGGGCTGCTACAGAAACGACTGCGCTCACATGTTGAAGGTTTCAGGTTTGGTTTAGCAGCGGGTTTTAACCTCCTCTCATCTTTTTAAACCCCAAAACATATTTGGCACTTCTGGTCAAAACAAGAAAAAAAAAAAAAAAAGCTTTATCGTAAAGGAAAAATCAAGGTGAGAAAAGTTCAGCTCGAAAACCATCGGGGAGGGGAAGCGGAGGAAGTGGAGGGCAACGCTCGCACAACCTGAGCCCCAGCGATTTCTAGCTACAGCAGAACAGGACAAACTGCCGTGGCAAAGAGGAGTGGGACGGCTTACAGTCGGTGACCGACACCACAATCCTCCGCATGAGCTGAGCCTCCTGGGCGTTGGGGTTCTCCCGGTCCAGCAGCACGCCGGTGGTGCGGATCTTGCCTGTGGTGCCGTTGAGGCTGTAGAACTTGTTGGGGGGTCGGATGCTGTACACCACCGTGCCGTTCTCCCCCAGGTCCGGGTCGACGGCCACCACCTGCCACGGAGAAACAGCAAAAATTAAAAGGAGAGCGACAGGAATTAACCCCACGGTGCGTCCCCGTGTAGAATCACCGGTGTCTAATAACGAGGCTGAGCTCCCATGACAGGCTTGCCCACCCCAGCAGCAGCAAGAAGTTCTCCTTCCCCCACGCCGCTGTATATTTTCACGGTACTTGCAGGGATTTTGTACCCTTGAGACCTCTATTGTGGTGTTAAATCTCACCGAAATTGGCCTGCGAGCCTGGGAGGCAATGGCATGGCAAGAGAGACACGGGCACGCAGCAAATGGGCTTTTCTCTTTTTAAATAAAACCAGCTAGAAAACAAGCGCCTTTCAGAAAAATAAAATAAATGGGACAAAGAGACGCGCTGAGGAACTTGCGCTGCCACATCGGAAATGCTGGAAATAATTCACCGGTGAGTTCTCCTCCGTGCCAGACATTTTGTGCTTTATTGTTCTCCCTGTGACATTTTTAATTACAGGGGACATTTACATTAAAAAAACCCCAAACTCCAACTTCATTGCACTCATAACTTCCCCGACCCCTGCGGCTGAATTCACATGATATCGGTGACACAATAATTATTTTCCCAGCAACTAATTGGGATGTCAAAGGCAAGACGACCTCAAGCAGGCGCTGAGCAGAAAACTGCCGTGCTTTGGTTGGGGCTGCGCTGCCAGACCTTTCTTCCCCCCGCCCTCCAACTCCTTTTCTTTCGCAGCCTTCCCCCTTATATGATTTTTGTGGATTCTCTTTGCTTTTCCCTCATTTATTTTCCGTTTCGTGCCCGTCATTTTTCTCCCGGCGTGATGGAGTGTAAGCCTCCCTCTCTCTTTCTCTTTTATTTCACCAGAGGGACTTGAAAGGCTGTAAATCAACGTCTTTCTGAGAGGTCCTTGAAGGAGGTCGCAGGCGAAGCTAAGAAAAGGAGAATTTGGCTAAAACCCACACAATTTGGGGAGGAAAAAAAAAGTCCCAGCAGAAGAGAGGAGAAACACCTGGGACGGGCAGCAGCGAGGATACTCAGGAGTAACGTTTGAAATGGAGTTCTGCAAGGTGGTGCTTGGCTGGAGGTGACACCGGTTTGGAGGTGACACCGGTTTGGAGGTGACACCCTGCTCCAGCCAAGCTGGGTGAAAGGAAGAGGCTTTTAGCACAACGGCCGCCTTCCCTTGCACGTACCGTGGTGACATCTGAGTTAGGGGGGGTCATTTCCACCAGGTTGATGAAGTACGGCTCATCCTTCCACGCGGGATAGTTGTCGTTGATGTCCAGCAGCGTGATGTTCACCTGCGAGAGAACAAGCAAGCCACACTGCGGCAGGCACCATGGGTTCCCGGGGCAGCGCGGCGTGTCTCTCTGGATGTACAGTGGCACCGGGTACCCAATGCACGTTCATCCTCCGGAGGGAAAACCCGCAAAAAACCAACCTCCTGCACCTTCACAACCCATCTGTGGCATATCTGCTCTCGGTTTGGCTCACGTGCACTTAATACCTTGCAGTTAAAGGAACCGCAGGGGCACGAGGTGTGTTTCCCTGGCGGGGGTGGGGGATGCAAATCGGTATGGAAGGAAGAAAACCTGAGTGACTGGTAAAAAGCAAGAAAAAAAAAAGGAATAAATGAGAAATCGGGAGAGTGTAAGGGAACAGGAGGTGGGAGGTGCAAAGATAAGAGAGCACGGGAGAGGATGGTGCCGTGAAGCGTTACCTATCTTCATTTTCAGTGTAAGAAATGGCACCTAAGTGACAGCAGCGAGCCCGTGGGACGCATCCTGTTGTCTGGGAGTCCCTCACCTCCCCGGATCGCCCGTTTCAATCCAGCCTGTGAGCCTACGGAGGGGCCTGAGGGGAAGAGCTGCAGTTCAAGGGACAGGGCGGCAGAGGGGCAGGTGTCTCAGTGGAGCTTCTCCTGGGGTCTCTCTTCTCTGTCCCCAAGGAATCGGGTCCTGCTGCTGCACCAGGCTGAGCTGCTGGTGCCACCCCGTGGCAGAAGAGGCAAATCTGGACACCACGGTCTCCAAGGACGTGCCCCTGCACAAGCCAAGGCACTGTGGTGGTCCTTGGGGAAGGTTGGTGACCCACCTCTACTCTGAGCACCCCAGGCGCTTGTCCATCACCCGGGGACCTTGCAAAGCCCCTGAATGGACCCTTATTCCCAGATCAAAAGTGATTATAGGGAACAGCTTTGAGTCCCGGGTGTGTATCCTTGCTAATGACAGCAGACAAACTTAACTGGCCACCCACTTCTCACAGAGTTTTAATATTCTTTAACTTTTTAGGAACCATGATGCTTCCCCCCCCCACCCCCAATGGCAATCTGTGTTGCAAAAACCTTGTTTTGCCTTTCAGTAAAAGCTTTTAGGAGAACATCATCTCATCTGGAGCCCCAAAGGGGAACCTGGCATCCAACAAGCCATGCCATTGCCCGGCCAAGGCCGTCATGTGCCTCCGGGAGGCTCCTCAGGGAGTTTCTAGTTTGCTACCTGGATCATACACATCCTGATGTCCCTCAGCAGTAGTGACAATTATTTTAGGGATCCCCTCAGCGCAACCGCACTATTTTTCTGCATCACTCTGTTGCATGGGACACCTCTCCTGCAACCCAACCGAGCATCCCAGCAGCAAGAGCACCCAAATATTATGAAATGTTCAAACCAACATAGTGCTGTGAGCAGCGAGAGATGGATCCTTGGCTTTTGACCTCCTGATATTTCCAGAGACTCTTACAAACCCTTTGCAAACAACGGGTCTCCCTGACGTTTGCGAAGGGCAAGGCAAAGCAGTAGGCTTTAATCTGCAGTACAATGGCCCGCACCTCCACCAGAACCTTCTGAGGAGCCCAGGCATGGCAAAGCAGTTGGAAACCCTTGATCCGGGCAGCATGTGAATAGTAGTCATCAGGAACGGCTAAGCGTGCCTGCAGGCTCTCCAGCTAAGCGTTTTCTCAAGAGGCATGAACAAAGGGAGCCGTGCTGCGGGTAGAATAGGTACCCGTTACCGCCTTCGCACGGAGAGCTGGACAGGCAAAGCGCTGGAAGGTCAAGTGGCTCCTGGGTGGACGGCTCGCCAGGAAAAGGAGCCTGACTTCAAGGTCTACACAGCCCAGACAGGCGTTCTGCAAGGGCTGCGAGCAGCGGTGGGGGCAGCCCAGAGGGCAGACGTCCCCGTGTGCTCTTTACCCATTCACCCAGCTAAAATTAAACACCGCTAGCACAGGGAACCGAAGCATCGGTGCCTGGGCAGCCCTCCCCAACCCCAGCCCCAGGCGGGCACTGCTGGCTCAAGGAGAGGGGAATCTTCACGCACTCACCATAGCAATGCCAGTCTTCTGATGGTGGCCCACACCCCCATCCACCGCCCGGACAATGAGGATGTATTCAGATTTAGCCTCCCGGTCCAGCAAAGAAGTCGTCGTGATTTCTCCTGCAGCCACGGGAGATGAGAGGGATTAGAGATGTTGTATGGTGAATAGGAGCACCAGTGGGGAAAAAGGGACGCTCCAAAACAGAGACAGGATCCTTCACAAAAGGGGCCCCTTCTCCTGATTCGGTTTCAAATAGATGGACCTCGGAAGGGTCAGCTTGTCAGCAAGCAAACGTCGTGCTGCCTCTTCCCACGGGAGCCCATTTAACAACTGCCCACGATCCCTCGTGCTCGTTCCTGCCCAGAATGAGCCAAAACACGATGCGAGCACGGGCAGGCGGGCAGCAGCTCCTCAGCTAACGTGAGCCCTCGCAGCCACAGCCTTTTCTCAGGCGTCGCTCCCAGCAGGAGCTGAGCCTCCACCGATGTCCCTGCCAAAGCTCTCACGGTGAAAGTGCTGGCAGCTGAAATCTGGCGAATGCCTTAAATTGTGTTTCTCCTAAGCAGGCTGCTCGGGGGAGAGGAGGGAAGGACAGGGGAAGGAGAGAGTCTAAGAGGAGAAGTGATGGGGAAGAAAACAGGGGGAAGAGGGAGCTGAAAGGAAAGGAGGGAGAGCACGTACGGAGGCTCACCTGAGCGAGCGTTGATCCGAAAATGCGAGGAGCCCTCCAGGGAGTAGATGATCGACTCCTGCCCATACTCCCTGGACCGGTCCATGTCCGTAGCATTGAGAAACAGCACCGTGGCTCCTTGGGGGAGGCAGAGATGAGGGCTGGGATGAAGTATTTGTGGCCCAGAGCGGCTCTCCCCAGCTGCTCTGTCCCCCCACATGGCTCCTGCAGGTCACCTGGCCAAGGGGTCCCCTCACCTGCATGCACAGTGGGGCCAAACCCCCAGACCCCATGGCTATGAAACTCTGCCCGCTGTCTGGCTTTTTTTTCTCCCCAAAAGCCATCACCCATCCCATTCTGGCTGTAAGACCCCCAGGGCCCTTCTGCTAGCCTGGAGAAGGAGCAGGGCTGTGCTCCATACCTGCCATGATGTCCTCCATGATGGTTATAACGTAGGAGGGCTTGCTGAATGTTGGGGGGTTGTCATTTTCATCCTGAAGCAAAGAGAAGGTCGAGAGGCTGGTTGGAAAAAAGGCAAAATGGTCAAACAGCTGCCAAAGTCTGGTACAGGGGTGCTCCTGGCCAGCTGCATCTCCAGACGTGACCAGCTCAAGGTATCAGTGTGGGGAAGATGGCCCTCGGGGTAAGGCACCAGAGGTCTGAGTAGGTGGTTTCATTACAGAGGCAGCGAGCGTTAAGGTAAATTGGCTGTCAGTGACTCGGCTGAGCCATACAGAGGGGAGGACACCGACTATCTCATTACCCAATACACAACAGGTCTGACCTGCCCTTTGCAGCCAAGCATCCTCCCAACTGCTCCTCCCTCCACCGCAGCCCTGGGAAGACTCAGACCGCACCAAGCGCGGCAGCATCGTGTCCGGACCTGCTCCTCCCTCTCGGAGCGGCACACGCGTGGCTTAGTGCTCCGGGTCACCCGAGTCACCCTGGCCATGAGGCCACCAGGCAGGCGGGACTGGCCAGGGGAGCTGCTGAGCTTTGGCTGTCTTTGTTTCAGCGAGGGAATGCTGTGGGTGTTTGCAGAGAGAGCAGCTACAGCATTTTCGGGAGGGGGAAGCTGGTTTGCATACCAATGTGCTCCCTCCAAGCCTGTCTCTGCCAACGACTATGGCCGGTCTGGTAAAACCAGGCAGGAGCAATTGCTCGAGACATCCCTCAAAACAGATTTCGGACCAGTTTAAAGCTCCCCCAGGAGGGCTTTAAATGCTGTTTAAACAATGTTAAGAATCTGCCTTAAATGAAGCAAACCCGACCGCCTACGGAGGGAAGGATGGAGCCGCCAGGACATTAACACACCGTTACGGACTTTGCTGCCTCCCCGGGGCTGCTCTGGAGACATTTTCTACCTGGAGGCCACTGATGGACCTGTGAGCTCGGCTGCTCCTGCTGCCACTGAACTTGATATTTGAGGCAATTTCACGTGCCAACGATGCCCATCGTGCTGCAATTAAATTGCCATCCTTTGCTCTCGTTGCCGGAAGCAGGTGGTCTTTAATCAGCCTTTGCATCACTTAGCTTTCACCACATCTCCTCCGAGGGTAATGAGGAAATTGCCTGCTGCCTCCGCACGTCCCTCCTCCTCCTCCTCCCAGAGCTGGGTCAGGGTCATCACCCCGGGGCAAAGCCAGGGGATCCGGGCAGCTTAAAGGCAAAGGAGAGACCGAACACGCATCCACGTGCCACCTGCACCCGGACCCGGGTGAGCTGTGCCACGGTCCAGGCTGAGTGGACGCAAG